CACCACACACCTTAACAGAAATATCAGCTGTGATTATTCAGCTGCCAAAATGGCACCACACACCTTAACAGAAATATCAGCTGTGATCATTCAGCTGCCAAAATGGCATCACACACACACACCTTAACAGAAATATCATCAGATTTTGTTTGGCATGTAGACAGTTCATTCAAAACCCAGGTGCATCCACTTTCTGAGAATTATTCAAATTTGGACTTATCGGGAAAAATGTTCCAAAAGGTAGGAGATGTGATATTCACTGCTGTCAACGTGTAATACTGCCTGGAAGAAGGAGTGGCTTTCATCTATGTACTCAGCCAATGTAGCCTTTGCTGTGAAAAATGTGTTGGGGGCACATTTGTACCTGTACTGCAAAAGGGTAGTAGTCGTTTGATGTGAGTCACTCTTCACTCTTATCACTGCATGAAGAGTCATTTTGTTGGTTTTGAGCACCTGATTTCAACTGATCTGGCAATTTCTCACTTACTTTAACTCCCCTCTCATTATCCAACTATATGTTGTTTTTTTCATTATTTTCTGTGATTCGTTTGTTCTTGGCATGACTGCTTATATTCTGTGGTCTTTACTGAGCTATATCTTTATTTACATGTTGTAGTTACTTGCAGATGATGTCTTGGAGGTATCTGTCTACTTATTGTTAGGCTGTGTAGATTAAGCCAAGCTACCACTGAAACGTTTGTATACTGTAAAATTGTGTTAACTCTATCTGTATAGAGCTGTTCAATCAGGGTATGAATTTTTCATGTTGTGGTCAAATGGATATTTGTAGAGGCTTCAGGCACAGTATGGTATGCTGTATACAGAGGATGGGTGCATTATAGTAAAAATGATTTTGGAGCCTCGCAACATCCTTACAGTCCATATCGTCATGCCTGGTCATGCTTTATATGATGATTGTATGTCTTGTAAATAGATGTACAGTGTGGTATCCATTGGAAAAGGCTCTACTGTAAGGTTGTAATAACGAAAGCCTCCCCTGCTGCTTTCCGTAATCTATCCAGTGAAAGAAAACGATGGTTTACCGGTGCCTGATTCAACAATCCAATCACACAGAAATCAATAGGTGTTGTGTCTGTCAACTTGACCAGTATGTCTTCATATGGAATGGTATGAATACCCTTTTTTCATTCTCCATCTGTTTGTCGTATGCCATGGTTGAAAAAATATATTGTGGAAGCAACCTGTGAACATTTGACTTGTGTGTCTTTTCCATATGGTGATATTTCTTGCTTATGTTGCATAATTTCATGGGACCTGTGGACAGCGTTTGTCACTGACCTTTGTGTTAGTGCCTTCTAACCTGTTACATGATGCTGCACTTTTTTTAGCTTGGCTGTGGGACAACTTGTTGCAACTCTCTTTCTGGATGATCTTTGTTCCCCAAGTTGATCCAAATTTATTTATTTCCCAATGTCATTAAACACAAGGGATATCCCCATACTGGAAATTCTAAATCCCTGTTCTGTGATCTGAGTGTGTGAATATTTTGTGATAGAAAGGACTGTTACATACTCTTCCCAAAAGCGAAGCATCTGTAAAATGCCAAACAATGTCAAAATGTAGTTCTACCATGACTTTATACGTCAGTTGTGGTTGTCACGTTACCACATTACTTCTGTGTGTGTGTGTGTTTATATATAAATGTTGTACTTACTTGCTGGTAATTTCTGATTTCTTTTATTAGGAGGCCTTCATGCTATAGCAGAACTTATCCAAGTTGATCATGAAGTCCATGGTAATACAAGTGACCCCTATTGCGTGACTTTGAGACGTTATGCCGGCATGGCATTGACCAACCTCACTTTTGGTGATGGCACAAATAAAGCCCTTCTCTGTTCAAAAACAGCATTCATACATGCTTTAGTGGCTCAGCTACATTCACCATCTGAAGATCTTCGGCAGGTGAGTATACAGAATGTGTTCGTTCATAATTTTCTAAAAGGAAATTTCTCGCTATCTCTTAGCAGAGTATTTGTATTGTGTAAGGAATGTGAAAACGTTTTAACAAGAATTCACTGAATTTTTATTGGTTTGGATATTCATCTATATTGCTTCATTTTTTTTTTTAAGTAAATGTAACCACTTATCACATGTCCCAAATTTTTTTTCAATCTGTTTAATTAACTGTTGAGAATATATATATTTTCTTTCTTTGTTCTTTGTAAAGTGAAGTTTTTACTTTTAACAGGAGTTATATTATCAGCATGTTCATTTTGTGTATGTTATCTTACCAATAATGGTTCCTTTTGAACAGGTCACAGCTAGTGTCCTACGTAACCTTTCCTGGAGGGCTGATGCCATAAGTAAACAAACTTTGCGGGAGGCTGGGAGTGTTGGTACTCTTGTGAAAGCTGCCATTGAAGCAAACAAAGAATCTACCTTAAAGAGTATATTGTCTGCTCTCTGGAATCTCTCAGCCCATAGTAGTAGTAATAAAGCTGAAATCTGTTCAGTAGATGGTGCATTAGCTTTTTTGGTCAGTACTCTGACCTACAAAAGCCCTTCGAAGATATTAGCAATCATAGAGAATGGTGGTGGCATTCTTAGGAACATTTCTAGCCACATTGCTGTTCGAGAAGACTATCGCATAATCTTAAGAAAACACGATGCCATACAAATTCTTCTGCAGCATTTAAAATCTCCTAGTCTGACAGTGGTTAGTAATGCATGTGGTACCCTTTGGAACCTATCTGCTCGTTGTGCTGAAGATCAAAGAACACTTTGGGAAATGGGAGCTGTTGGAATGCTTCGGAACTTGATTCATTCTAAGCACAAAATGATATCAATGGGAAGTTCAGCAGCTCTTAAAAATCTTCTTTCGTTGAAATCCTCCGGGATTTCTCTGAATTCTTCGACATGTTCAGAATGCAGTCAGTTTAAATCCAAAACTGATAAGATGCCCTCATTACATGTTCGAAAAATGAAAGCTTTAGAATCTGAAATAGATCAAAGTTTATCAGAAACATATGACAACTTAGACAGCCCCAAAACAAGTCCAACATGCCCTTCTCAGTTTGTTGGTAAATTCCTTTTGAATTCTAGTAAACAGAATGCAAGTGGTACAAAGCATTTTATTCCTGTTCCACTACAAATGTATAACAGTGTTGCAGGACAACTTTCCACCAGCAGTCGTCCACTTCCTTGCTCCAAAAGTCATGACAGTCTTGGAAGTTCACAGTCAGAGTTTATTCAGAGAATGGATAATACAAAAATGTTTTCTTCTTCCAGAAAAGATGGGTCTTATCCAGGTTTCAGTGGAAAAAGTTCAGAAGTAGAGTGGTCAGAAGAAAACCTTTCAAGAACAGACTATAACAATATGAAACACCCTTTAGAATCTGAAGGGCAGTCGTTTAACCTCAGATCAGACATTGTTACATCATCAGGAGTGCAAGAGGAGACTCCAGTTTCACCATTAGAAAGTGGACCTCGATATGATGGAAGACGCACTTGCTGGGAAGACCATCTAGCTCTTGCAGAGAATGACTCTGGCACATCTTTGTCTTCTAGTCTGTTACCAAAATTTACAAAGTTAGTTAAAAAAAGGGAGTCACGTGATACTGAAAATGACAGTTCTTGTGATCATGTGATTGATTCCAGCCTAAAACACTCTGATGAAAGTATGGATACACCTACTACACCTCCACAACTTAATCAGTCCAAAAATCCAACGAAACATAAGGAACAACAAGTACTTGGGCCTTACCTAGTATGTCTTGACTCAGATACAGAAATAGCCGTTTTCAAACCAGTACGCAAACTGCAAGACTTCTCGGAGTTGAATCTGGACTACACGGACCAGTCAACAGGTTTCATTCGAAAGGATGGAGAAATTCTGGAGGAAACTGAGGAGTATGAAGAGGTGCTTCCAGTTTCACCGAAGTCTGGAATGTTTCGAGATAGGTGCAAACAGTCATCAATTACTGATTACTCACTTAAATCGTACTGTACTGAAGGCACGTCATTGAATTTTTCAACAGCTTCATCAGTTGCAGGCTTTCAAGATTTCTTTGATACTGAACCTATTGTTAATCCTGTAAGTGAAGCTGGTATTGAGATTGTCAATCATCAACTTGTTGATCAGGAGCTGAAGAAGACGGAAAAGAAGAATAACAATGAAGAGAAACCATGTGTCTGTCAGAATGAAAAAAAAGGTAACTGTAGTTTTCACATGGCATGCATTTCAAATATTGTTTTGCAACACCTAGAGCAATTAAAAAAAGAAATAAGGACCAATTTACAGAGGCATTTACCATAAGAAGCTAAAACTTTCATGTGTTGTACTTAGTTCAGACTAAAAAAAGGGTATCACATTAGTGTGAAAGTTAACTCTTGGAATAAAATATATATATATATAGCACATTTTTGATGAAGGCTGTGCCAGAAATAGTTGTATTGAGTATCTTTATCATCACTATGATTGTAACTTAATTTCAATGTTGCTGTGATGTTTTTCTATAATTTTCATGATCTATGTATGGTTTGGTATTGAGCTCTAATGAAAAATAATTTTATTCTGTAAAATAACATATTTGGACTTTATTCTGTAATTATAAGTTTTGAATCAATTTGGTGGTATATTCCTGTGTTTTGATTTTAAAACATTTTTATTAAGTATTTAGTTTTTTGTCCAAGAGCATGTTTTCAGATTTATAACTAGTTATCTTGAACACTCTAGTTTTTTACCAAAATTACTACAGTTTAGGGAACAAATTTATGTTTGTCTATATTTATTGTAAAATAATGTTGTTACATTTTTTTTTTTTCCTCGTTTGTGAAAACTGTTGCAATTGGAGCAGAAGCAATTCCGATAGTGTTCTCAAGATCTAGTTCTTTGGGATCCATAAGTACTTTAAATCAACATTCCATTCAGAATGACCATAGCCCATTTGTTAGTGATGTTAGGTAAGAGGAACAAGAAGTAAAAAAAGACAACAACTACTTAATTATGTTATCAACATTAGTAATATATATTTATGAATATGTCTTAATTTCTGTAATATGTATTAAGAGTTACAAATTGCACCTTAAGGAAGAATATAATATGCAGCAAAAATGAATTATCACATAATCATCTGATTTCATTTTTTTGTTTTGCATTTGAATACAATGTTTTGCTCTCAGTTTTTGGTATTCAAAGATGATTAAACAATACTTGTGCTGTTTCAGTATATGTATGCTCAGTATATTTCAGTGACAGTATAGCCAGAAGTTGTGGTCTGGTTGTGTGTTTTTTCTTAGCCTAATCAATTTTAAAATGTATATTATTATGACAATACTTGGATAAATATCATAAATACTGCAATTTACTTGCTGTAATGTCTTTGTTCAGGTCTAAATTGAAAGTTAAACTAGTTTATCCTACTGTCAAACATCATTAAGTGCCAGAGTTAATGGTAAAACTTGCTACTGCATGTTACAGGGAAAGAAGATTCTTGAAGTGAAAGTTGTTATTTTATTATGTATTGATTTGAAACAGGCAGGCTTACTGTGTAACCATTCTATCTAGATAATTATGATTTTGTTTGAATAATATAAATTCTAGTAACTTAAGTTGCTTATTAAGAAAAGTATTAATTAAAATGTTTAAAAGCAACTAGAATTCTAAATCGTAAAAAAAAATCTGGTTTTGAAAAATTTTTACTTGTGTTATTGTTGATTTCTATCAACAGTTGTATAACTTATATTTCAGGCATACTGCTAGTAAAGTGGTTTCAAAATTCCCCAGTCAGACTATGCCATCTACTCATCCAGCTTCTCCTAAAGCAGCTCCATTCAACTTATTAGAAGCATTTTGTATTCCTTGCCCAGAAACAACTTCTTTTCCCACACGAACATCCTCTTCTGTTTGCAGTAATCCAAACATCTGCCAAGAGGATCATGAGGAGAAAGAACAAATAACCACAAAAAAAGAAGATAAAAACTTGGTTGTAGAAAGAACTCCAGCTGAGCTTTCCAGAGCCACATGTTTAAGTTCCTTAACAAGTGAAAACAGTCATCCAGTGTCAATGCGGGAACCAACAGAAAAACAAATCCTAGAAATGACTAAAGTTTCCTGTGAAACAGCAGACAGTGTGTTTAGAAATTTCATCACCAACCAACAGCACATCCGAGACCAAATCTTTACTTACCAAGATGTGTATTCTGCTGCGGAAAAGAAAGAAAAGAGTGATTATACAGACAAACGTGAGGATAATCTTGGATCTCGCAATAGTTCTGGAACGCCGAATAATGATAGCTCAAACTATCGAAATAATACCAGGCTTCACAGTCATATCAATAGTCTTGGCTCATCATCAACCCATCAAAAACTGAGTAATATTCCTATTAAATCTAATAATACAAGGCTTGGTCATCATGTAACAAATATACCAAAGCCTCTAGTTCCTTTTGGAGCAGCACAATCACTAGCAACATCTGGTGACAAAACTACTAACCTTCACTCTACTCAGCAGAGATTTAGTGAGGACTGTTTTAAAGTGTATAAAACTGAAAATATTTCCTTGAACCTTTCAGATCCCACCTTCTTAGCTGACTTAGGTGGAGTTTCTGCATTTGACAAGAAGAGCAAACATTTGCTCAGCCCCTCTAACTGTGATAATCAGTCGGATAGTAGTGCTTTTTGTGATGATAATGATATGGTTTTGTTCCAGTGTATTCAATCTCTAATGCCTAATCTTCAACCCCCTTTATCTTCAGAAGCTATTAGTTCTGTGGTTGTTGAGAGTTCCCCTGTAACAGTCAAATCAAAATTACCTCATATTTTAGTCAAAACTCTGAAATCTTCTTACACTACAACATCTCAAGCTTTAAACCCAGAAGTTGTACATCAAACTCCACGCTATGTTCCCCCAAAGTCAGTGAAACCAAAACACAGTCATTGTTGTCTCAACAGTAGGGTACATTCAGATATAAAAGAGGAAAAACACCATTATCCTCGTCGGCCCCATGCATCTAAAAGAAGTGCTGTTAAGCCAACTAAAAACTTAGTATCGTCTTCTAGACCTAGCATAAAATCGTCATTCCAAGACTCGCTTCAAGCTCGCGTGGTGGAAGGAACACCTGTAACATTCACTAGAAATGACTTTCTCAGCTCTCGTAGCACAGAAGAGCATGAAAGACACAGACTGAAAAGTTATTCTGCTCATCAAAATGACAAATATGGTCTGTTTGGCTGTAAGTGTTTTCAGATCATGGTTGTTCTATTTCACTTTCTCTTACCTGTACTTAAAGAAACTGACACAACTTTGAGATTATGTTCAAACAACATATACTCACTTTATATAGCTGACAAAGTTTTTCTTAAATTCATGTTTGCTGTAAGTACTTTAAAGGATGTGGCTAATCATATGTCTGAGTTAACCCATATTTTACATTGTTCATTTCTGTCAAAATCTGGACAATCAGCAATGAATTACAAAATTTAATAAAAGTTTCATCATAATTTTTTTAATGTATTTGATATAGGAATAATGGGTTCAATGATTCTATCGAAACATAACCAGAAATTATAAGTCTTTGTGGTTATTGATAGTGAATACTTTAGAAAAAAACAGTAGACTAAAAGTGATAACGATCCATCCACAAAGGAAACAAATACTAAGAAGTAATACAGAACTAGAATTTTAGCTAAATTTTCAAGTTTGAGTGTGTGAACATAATATTTACTGTTGCTTGTTTGCATACATGCAATAACAGTGGTAACATAATTTTAATATTTTTCTTTGAAGTTGCAAAATGAGATTTGTTTTTCTCGCATTATGTCATCCACTTTCTTCTTTAGTTTACATCATGAAGTATAGAAACTGCAAACAGTCACTTCCATGCTAATCTAAAATGCTTCACTCTTCATTATGTCTTACTTTGTTCCATTGTTGTTAAAATCCAGAGCTCTCACTCGTATGTAAGTGCACTTACAAATGAGAAATAGTATAGCTTGTGTAACATTTTGTTAACATACTAGTTTGGATTGACATATTTTATGTAAGAAATAGCCCTTAATTTTTCAATATGAAGCACTTAATTTTCAAATTAAAAACTGCTGTTAAAATGTTTACCAGCATGCTTATTATTATCATAATCCTATGTTATTCAAAGCAGTAATAAAAGTTAATGGGGAAAATTTAGCCAAATCTGTTTTATCTATGCCATTTTCTAAATTTTATGACAAAAATTTGGCTCATGAAAGTCTTCAGCATGTGATTTATTTTCTATTAGTGACAAAGGAGGCAGTTATTAAAGAGCCTTGTATACATTTCATATAATGTGTGTTTTATCATTATATTCTCTTTAAATTATAGTACTAAAAAATAAGAACCTTCTGACAGCTAACAAACTATACACATGTGGGTAAAAACCAGATCAATTTATTTTTAGCTGGTTCAAATTTCAAATTAGTATTTCTGATTGTCAGATGGTTGTATAATTCATTTGTGACCTCAGATAGAAATTGTTTTACGTTTAACAAATTTAAAAACTGTTTTTTACACTCACTGACTACTGTATGGAGAGAGAGAGAGCCCCTTATACTTTAAAGTAATTACAATAAGCTTAGAAAATTATACCAATCGGTTTTTGTATTTATTCTAAACACAAAATTAAGCATGTTGTAGAAATCACAAATGTAATTGAAATTTGCATTTTCTCTGTAATAGTTTTGTTTTGTTTTTTAAACTAAACTTTTCAATGTATGTACATTTTTTTCTTTATTTAAATATAATAATTCTTTTTTCTTAGGTACAACAAGGCCAGATGATAGTATGTCACGGTTTTCATACAAACCTGTGATTCCAGACAATTTAAATCAGAAGAATTCTACATCAAAGGACATTCCAACCTCTGGTAACCTAAAGCCTATGTTAGTCTCTAAGGAGAGACAAGGGACTATCTCACAATCTTTAACAAAAGAAGTATGTCCCTTATTATTCAAGAAGAACAGCAGTACTGAGGAAGTGCACCAGGAGAAAACATCATATTTTCATAATAAAGAAACCCCTACTTGTTTTTCAAGAAATGGTTCCATGAACTCTTTGAATGTTGAAGAAACCTTTTGTTCTGAACAATCCTTTTTGCACACCTGTCTTGCTTCAGGAATTCCTAAAGACAAGTCAGTTTTTACAGGCTATAACTCATCATCTGTTGTAAAAAGTCATGACCACAAGCCGTTAAAAGAATGTGGAGAAGGAAAACTTAAAAATTCGGAGCAAAATATAAAGGAAATACAGTTCAGTAAAGATGTTTATGAAGACTCAAAAATAGATGGAAATGGAAAAGACAACGAGCCTGCACAACAAAAAGAACAGATTCGTACTCCTCTTACTATTTCTAGTCGAGTATCTGAGGAAAGAGTAAAGCAGGAAAATGTTGTTTTTCATGAACAAGAAAAATTAAACGTATCAAATATGGAATGTTCTCTTACTAAGATAGAAGATTTAACAGCTCTTCAGTGTGAGGCTTTGAAGATCGTAGAGAAGGTGGAAGGTGAAGTACAGGATGACTTAACGCAAAGCACTATTAGTTGCATGTCAGATATTGATAATGCCAAACCTCCATCTATATTTATTGATTTAGGCTCTCTAAGTATGATGAGTAGTGGTATTTCTGATATTGTTTCCTACTCCTCAAAGAATGAAGATCTGATGAGAGAAGACTCCACAGTGACTAACAGAAGATCCAAGATGCAGAAAGACAAAGATATGCAGGAAAATGTTTGGCAAACATTGTGTACCAGTTCAGACACAAACAAAGTAAGTGCACATGAATCGGATCAAAACAAGACATCTCTACTTACAGATTCTATAGATAGCCTCAGTATGAAAGGAAGTACAATTTCCGAGATCTTGGAAAATGTGAATCCTCCTTCCTTCATGGATGACATATCACTTGTTGGAAGTTGTGAAAGTCTAAACAGTATTAGTTCTGATGTGTTAGAAAACAGATCCCAATTCACCAATGAAGTGCAGTGCACAAAAGATAATGACATTCTTGATCGTTTGAATGCTGCGGCATCTGTGGTTCAAATGTATTCTAGGGAATTGAACACCATCATGACAGGAAGCATGAAAAGCAGTTACAACTCTGAGATAATAGACCAAGTGAAACCTCCTTCATTTTACCAGGACATAGTGGAAGTGACAGCAGAAGATGTTACTGACTTTGGCTCTGACAGTGTAGTATCTGACACAGAACTTATTGATGATCTTCCACGAGATGATGTCGATACCCCTCTTCCTTCCACTGAGACACTGAAAGCTCCTCGTTTGCATTCTTTACAAGATGAGCAAGATGGTAGTACAGAAAATTTAACTTATGTTCTTGATGAATGTGAATCTACATCTGATAATAAAGGAACACTGATGGAAGATAGTCTTATGCAAAACATAAAATCGGATCTTTCCATATCCAAAGTTGAGGCAGAAGCTTTAAAGATCAATGCAACATTAGTACTTTGTACTTTGAATAAAATGCAAGAAGATCAAGCAGTTAATGATGAGGCTGAATCTCAAGATAACATGCTGGAGGATGAAACTATATCATTAGTTTCCAATGATTCAGAAGAAGGACAGGTGGAAGAACTGGGGGCTAATGAAGAAGGTACATTTTCTAAGAAACCAATTATTATTAAACCACTAAACAAAGAGATCATAAGGCAAATGAGAGCAAGGAAAGAAACTACATCAAGACAAAGTTTTTCAAAGGTTGGTAAAAGCATGCTTCCAATTAGGTCACCAAGAGCTGTTCATGGTGGTGGTAGTAATAAAAATGATGCAAACTGTTCTTTGATAGCAAGGGCCACAAGGTCGCTCTCTCCATTTGTGAGACCAACTAGAACCTTGGCTCTTAGTACTAACCAGAAAGGTGGATTTCAGAATAATCTTGAGTCATCTTCTTTACCACTAAAGACAAATTTACAACAAACATTATCAAAGTCCGAGAAACCTAAAAGTTTACTCTCCGGAGATTCTCATGAAATAAAAAATACTTCTCTTAAAGATAAGAAAAATATCTCCAAAACATCTGGAGAAAATGAACAAGATATTGAAATATCTAAACCAAAGCCCTTAGTTAAACAAGGTACTTTCACCAAAGATAAACCAACTCAAGATGCACCCCAAATATCACCCATGAAAACTGCAACTGTACAGCAGTTTACATCTACAGAATCTGAAGCTTCAGACAACACTAGAAGATTCCAATGTAAAAGCAAGAGTTCTCAGGAAATCAGCAAAACTAAAGATGAGGGTAACTCTAATTATTCTTGTCCTGGAAATCAAATTCAGTCAAGTGATCCTTCTAGGACAAGGAGTCTTGTTAAAAGTATTAAAAGACCTGTAAGCTTAAAAAGCTTTGTGAGTAGAAGTTCAAGTGCTAGCAGTAGATACAGTCATTCTATTGTGGGAACTTATTCTACAAGTAATGGGAGTCTTTCTTCGTCATCTTCCTCTGGAACACTTTCACTTCACACAGATAATCCTAGAAAAAGAAGAGAAGTAACAAGTAAGATTGCATCGTTATGGAAGAGACCTGATGCTGGTACAAAAGCAGCTGAGAAGAAGAAGAATTTATTTGGATCAAGAAACAATAGTTCATCTTTATCAGTACCAAAGTTTACAAGGAGCCCTTCTTTTCCTAACAGGTGTGTTTACAGAGTAATAGAGTATCATTATGAAGTCAACACTGAGAACATATATCATTAAGGAGATGCAGAAATAGTAATAATTTAAATCAGTAAATTGCTATCATTTTGTGTGACTACATTAAAATGTTACATACCAATACACTTTATACAGTTGATAGTATGATTGCCTCAAGGTGCATTAATTTGTAATCGGAAGCTCCACACTATCTACCAAGGTTCTTCAAAGGATTCATTGTATCTATACTTCATCATATACTAAATCATATAACATAATATTTTGGGACAACATGGGACCTATTGGTCCATCTAGGCTGTTCCATCCTCAAAACTAAATTAAAATGATTAGAAAAAATAAAATACAAAAAATGTTAAACCCAACCCTTTTTGCTTTTTTTAAACTCACTTAAGTTTACTGCCTTTACAATATGTGAGCAGCATCCTCTTCACAGCTAGCAACAACTTAGACCTTAATATCATCTGGAAATTTAAGTAATTTATTGACTATTCCTTCATCTATGTCATTGATGTAAATCAAAAAGAGCAAAGGTCTTAAGACTGAGCCCTGAGGTACACCACTTGTGAAATTAATCCAGTTTAACTGAACTACATTTGTAACAACCCTCTGCTTTCTTCCATCCAGCCACTCTTCTATCCAATTAGCTAACTTATACCCCTCACCTACAGAGCTAATTTTTTTACAAGCCTTTTATGTGGCACCTTGTCAAATGCCTTCAGAAAATCCAGATACACCAAATCTACACCCTTACCCTCATCAACATAAGCAGTAACCTTTTCAAAGAATGTTAAAAGTTTTGTAAGGTAAGATTTTCCCTTAGTGAAACCATGTTGACTATCCAATAAAATTCTAAACTTTGTTAAATGATTTTGCAAAGCATCTTTTAACAGACTTTGTGATTGATTTGAATGTTTTATGTTTTGAAACTTTTGCACAAAGTTATTATGACTGTTAAAATACAACATCACAAAATTATTGTATAAAAAGTTTAAATCAACTGAGAGTTCATTGAAATAAAGTTTATTTAACACTATAACTGAATGACATGATACCCAGGTAATCTTCAAGGATAACTGATCTTTCACTCTTTTCTAAAATATTTTTGTTCAAGTGTATCACAAAAAGTTAATGTTATAAGTTTATTAATGTGCATTAACTAATTAATAAAAAACTTCAGAAAAGATGCACAGCATATTGTTGAGGATACTAAATTTCTAAATATCTTAATCTATTATTAAGCTATATAAATATAATAGTACTGTCTGCTGTTTGTCCATGTAACTACTTCTATATAAATATAATAGTACTGTCTGCTGTATGTCCATGTAATTACTTCTATATAAATATAATAGTACTGTCTGCTGTATGTCCATGTAATTACTTCTATATAAATATAATAGTACTGTCTGTTGTGTGTCCATGTAATTACTTCTATATAAATATAATAGTACTGTCTGTTGTGTGTCCATGTAACTACTTCTATATAAATATAATAGTACTGTCTGCTGTGTGTCCATGTAACTACTTCTATATAAATATAATAGTACTGTCTGCTGTATGTCCATGTAACTACTTCTATATAAATATATAAGTACTGTCTGTTGTGTGTCCATGTAACTACTTCTATATAAATATATAAGTACTGTCTGTTGTGTGTCCATGTAACTACTTTGCAGGGTGTGGATGGATCTTCACCAAATTTGGTATGGAGGCTCATTAGGTCCATGCGGGGGTACATACAGATTTTCAGTTTTGTAATTTTTATGGGCAATTTTTTACCACTATCTCATCTCCTATGGATTGATTTTTTAACAAATTTGGCATTAAGGTTCACTGTGGCCATGGGGAGATACAGACAATCTTTCAGTTTTGCATTTTGCAATTTTTATGGATGTTTTTTAACTTTTTTACCACTACCTTGCCCCCTGTAGATGGATCTTCAACAAATTTGATATGGAGGTTTATTGGATCCATAGGGAGATTCATACAAATTTTCAGTTTTGTGTTTTGCAGTTCTTATGGGTGTTTTTGCATTTTTTTTACAATTACATATAAGGGAAGCAACTTTTCATGTCCTAAGGTAACCTTTCATTAATCCTGAACTTGCATAACTTCCGTTCAGGGTATAGATACTCGAGCTAGTTATGTCAGTAAATCTCTAAAACTTTATGTACGATTGTTGCATTTGATAACAACATACCAGATGTTATAAGATTTTCTTTGGGTGCATCCAGACATTAACCAAAAATGTCACTTGCTTAATGCAACAAAACTATTTCGCTTTGTACATGCATTAATATTTCCCAAACGTGTTTAGATATGTACACTTTATGTAATAGTTATATGTAAATTTTTTTTTCCCCTTGTCAGGGCTCAGTCATCTGATTCTGTGCTTCCTACTGCCCTTAGTTTGAGTAGAAGTTCAACATACGAGAAGCTTTCCTCGGAGAACCAACATACTTTACACAGCTCTGTACCAACATCTACTGACTCAAGAAAAAATCAAAATGAGGGATCTAGTTTGCGGAGTATCAATATTAGGAATAAGACATTAACCAAGAAGAAGCCTTCAGGTATAAATTCTGCTACTGTAGTTATTGATGAACCAGCTATTGCAAGTGTAATTTCTAGAGAATCTTTCTTAGATAGGCATAGCGGGCAGCAAGTAGCTAAAATACCTTTTTCTGAAGGAGCTGAGGAACAGACTGAAAGTATTGAAGAAAAAGCTGCAGTATGTCCATTTTCCAGGTCACCAAACACGGCACACTATACGCAAAGTCCTGAAGTTTATCTTCCTTCCACTTTTGTTGGGAGAAAAGTTTCTGACTCTGACCAACAACATGGACGGTTTTCATCCTTTAACAGTTCGAGGGCTGTACCAGTTTCGGCAGTTGTTCCACCTTTCAATTATATTCCATCTTCAGTGCATTTGGCTCAGCAAAGACCTGAGAATATGTAGCCATGACAACAAGCCAGATGATTTTTTTTTCAAAAAGATTTTGTTATGAATGTTGATAAAGAGACTGTGATGGGAAGCAAATGTTGTATTGTCACTACATTATGAAGTTAAATTCTGTACGTATATTTTAAGTGGTAAGGTATAACTTTATTCTACAGTGTAAATATAATTGTGTGGAGAGTCTTAAAACACTACTGAATGGCAGCTACATCAGGCTGATTAGTGAAATTTGTTAAGCGTCTGATCCCTAAAAGCTGAAAGAACCATGAGCATTTTACTTGAAATATTTCTAGTGTGCAAACTCTAATATTTCTTTTTATTAATTTAAAGAGGTGTTAATAATATTTTGTATCTTGAATACTCAAGTTGGCTTCCAGTTTTGAATAATATTTATCTGCCTGCCAAATAGTGCTAATGTTACACTACCCAGTTTTGACACTTAAGGTTTTAGAGAGTGCTTCAGCCTGTACAACCTGATCCGTGTTTCAACACATGGAAAATATGACAGCTTTATGATGTTATGAAACAAAGCAATGTATGGCTAGTTGTTTACTGAAGTTTGTGGGTTGTTGAGTGCCCTGTGTTGTTTTGTTATTTTGTTGTTGTTCTTTATTTTTGTTAAGGATTACAGAATTTTGTTGAATTTGCCAGTTTTTTGTGTAAAAACTGAAAAAAGGATATTAAAGCTAAATTTTATTATCACACATTGAAGTTTTTTTTGTTTTTTTTCTTCTAAATGTGTGTGTATATATATATATATATATATTCTGTTACAAAGTGAGCAAAATAAAACAACATTATTTTCAGGTTAAGAGAAATACAGTTAAAACGTTTTTATGTTGTAATATGTATTTGCAGAAATTGTAATTGGATAGTCATATTATTTTGTACAAAATTAACTTGTTTTTGTAAATTATTACATTATTTCATGAAATTTGTCATAAAATGACTTTTATGGTTTTTCTCCCCTTCCTATAATTTAATTTATATGATGAATTACAGTTTCTTACAAATATATATATAACTTTTTAACCAACCTTAAGCTTGTGTTCTGACATATAAACGAATCTTGGAGTACTCGGATTTGTGTAAATGAGGACTAAGGTTTCTGTTTTGTGATGATGGAAAATAACATTTTGTATATTGCTGTCTAACATAGTATAGTACAATTTCACATTTGCCAAAGAATTGGCTTGCAGACTTCAAATTATTCAATAAAATATTTTGCTGTTGTATACGTGTACATTGTTAACAATATTTTATGCAGTGTTTGTTGTTTTGTGAAATGTCTACAGAACAAAACTTGTCATTGTAGCTCGTAACGTGCATGTGAAGATATACGAATATAGATAGAACCTAAAACAGTTATTTAAGGATATTTTATAGATGATATTTTGTGTCTTACTTTTTTTCTGTCTTTCTTAAAAAAGAGTTACTGTAAATACTGTAATTCATTGTACGAGTTGAATTGACTGGCCCTAAAACATTGAATTTTGTATCTTATTGGTTAAAGAAAAAATTGTTTCATTTCGATTTATTTGTTAACTGACAGTATTTTTACGTAAATATTCAGACGAATTTTGCCTAATTTGCTGAATAAAAAAAAAAATTGATATTGTACTCGTTTTATGTGGCAAAAGACACGAGAAAGCTCAGTTTTATAAGAAAAAAAGTATTGTAAATTCGAATATTCTTTGTGTGTGTCTGTATTTGAACACTTTGGTAAATTGAAAATTACCAGTTGTTATCTTAACATTTATTGTCATAATTAATTTAAATTTTGCTTAATGTTGATTTTGTGGTTACATAAAAGTTTAATATTTCTAGTCAAACTTTGCATGAAAATTCTTCTTTCCATACATTACATACTGTTTTCTGTTTCATCTCCTAAAGTTTCTTTCTTATTTAGTTTGAATTTACTCATTGAAAATTTTTTGACCATTTATTGTTGGGACAATTCTAAGTTTGTGAAATAATGTATAGCTTTTTTTTATATTTAATTCTGTTATTTTGAAGTTAAAATTTTTTTGTTAATAATTTGCTGCAATATATATTTTATCTTGTTATCTGCATTATTTTTATTATTTTGAATTTATGTTAAAAGTATTGTATAAATAAATGAAGAAATGAATAATGTGTTTGTTTGTGTTTTTTAAGAAACTTCACCTGTTCGTTAGTAATGTTCTCTGTTCTTTTCGTTTAGTTAGTTTGTTTATAAAATTTGTTTTACAGTAAATAACCTAAGTTTGATGCAGAGTTTGTGAAAAGTAGAAAAGGTAAGAAGTTACATTATTATACAACATAATGATGTATAAATAATTCAGTTGAACATAATAGTTAAGATATTTTGATGTGGTAACTATAAACCACTCAACATCCAAGGTTGAGCAAGTTTTATTTAGTTTCAGGGTTTCAACAAATAACTGTAAAAAAAAACTCCAAATTATAGTAAAGATGTATTAGGTGGTCAAGAAATTAATGTCGCGTTTTGGAACACTTTAATTACCCCCCCCCCTCGAAAAAAAAACCAACAAACAAACGTACATCACGTATAATAGTTAAACGAACCGCCTGAACGTCACGTTAGTGTAGCCTATACAAGGTGTAATGTTTAGTATACTCTAATCCCTTATAGTGATGGCACACGACGAGACACGCATTCGGCATGTAATGCTGTTTGAATACAAGAAAGGAAACAACGCCTATGTAGCTACAAAGAATATCAAAG